ATCACCATGGGGAGGGGGGCGATGATAACTTCCTGAATGGCTCAAGGGGGCGTTTCTTTCAAAAAGGTTAAGAACCACTGATTTAGATGACGTTGTTGGCCAGCACTATTGGAGGTGGGGCGGAATTCTTTATCATGAATACAAAGACTGAATTAAATTATGTGCGGATGATCATCAATATTAATGTTGGCTAGATTAATAATTACTGAATTTAATGATAACATTATGTCCAAATAAAATACTTTAAAACTGCTATTCTTCTGTTCCTTATTGATATCCTCTACTGAACTTCTAGAAATGATAAGATAATATGCATAACTAAGAGTGCAATCTTATATCCACTTTCATAAGTATAAGCCCAAATGTATTCAGTGGAACGTATTTTTGAACAAACATGCATAGGGTTGCACTTTCAAACATTTCAAAGCTGCCTTATGGATTCTATTCAGAACTTACCAAAGAACTGTTCACAGTGTTGTCAGTTGTACAAGCAGCAAAATAACCTTCAGCATCTGCAAACTTTTAAGAGATGTAACATTTAAAATTCAAGTAAGATTATATTACTATGACACAGATTAAACGTAACATATGCTTTTGCACACATGCTTTATCAGCTTCTTCAGCTGAGTTCTGGCCTCATGAAGGCTAGCTCACAGACTAAGAACAAACAGATCCATCTTCATTCTTGCCCAGCTGGCTTGATGTTAGACTGACCTCAGCTGCTGTAGTTTCAAAGCCAACGCCACATTAACAAGAAAAATATTTCAAGAAGACGACACTAGGGAGTGACTTTACATGGTGTTATAAAGCCAACAAGCCACCCACTCTTTCTGGTTGGCTATCGTCTCCAAATTTGAGAATGAGGAACACTGATAAACCTTCTTTAGGTTGGACCTCTCAATCAGTAACAAATCCATCTAAATATCAGTAGATTTATCTAGCCTACATTCTACTGGCTTCACCACAGTATTATCATGGGAAATATCATCAAAAGCCTTGCTAAACTCAAGATACTGTATACCACACGCACAGGATTTTTTTGATCTACCAAGCATGAGATTCTACAAAAAAGGGGTAAGTTTAATCTTGTTTGACTTGTTTTTAAGAAACTAAAGGTTTTGGTAATCAATATTCTCTTTTCTAAGTACTCACAGTGTGACTACTTTGATTTGTTCTAGAACATTTCCAGGTATTTAAGTTAAACTGATTGGTCAGTAGTTGTCCAGATCTTTTCCCACCACCCCTGCTTTCTAAAACTGTAAGTAATATATCTCCTCCTCCATTCTTCAGGAATTTCAAGGTATCTGGCTATTCTCCAAGGTATCTGGCTGTAGAGCCAGAGGTTGGGAGTTCAGTTCCATATAGTTCAGTTCCAGCCAGCCTGTGTAGTCATGGGCAAGCTGCACAATCCCAGGGTTTGGGATCTGAAAAGGGCCACTATAAGTCAGAATAACACAGTTATTATTATTATAGACAGAAGCTCCAAGACTACATATCAACAGCATTCCCTCTAAACTGTGTGAGCAAAGAGCTCCATTAGGACTACACACCAACAGCCGAAGTTGGCACCCATTTAGGTCCAGTTTGGGCTGGAACTCTGCCCCAGCGCACATGCACGGGGTGAGGCTGTCATGCAGCAAGTCTGAAAATTAGAAAGAACACTGCATATCACATTCCTTTAATACCTTTACATGCAATTCACTGGGCAAAATAGATGGCACAGAAATAGGTGTTTCTGTGCTATCTATTCTCTTATATTGGCAGCAGCCCTACTCACTACCTTTCTTGTGCTCTGTTGTGCACTATTTTTCTTCTTGCACTTTGTCACACTACCATGCATCCATCTCTCCATGCAAAGGTATCATTTCCTTGTTCCTCCTCTAACTATAAGCTCATCTCACAAAACTCCTCTTGTTACTTTTCACAACTCTTACAAGCCTGAGTTTATGCTAAGCTTATCCCTCCTGTCCTCTCTATAAGGTTAATTTGTCCTTCTCTTTGATAATCTGCCACTTTTAAAATTTTCTATATACACCTCTTTTAATTCTCATCATTATCAAGCAACTACTCCAATTTCATTAGATGTCTTCCACTCTTTGCTCTCATAGCTACTATTTGTGGTTGTATCTTTTCACTCCAAAGAAACTCTCATCTGTTGTGAACTCTCTCCTCTTTGAGGATTTCTGATCTTAGTCTATTCTTTTTTATTAACTATATTCTAGTCATGTGCCTCATCCTACTCAAATGCTTACTAAATCATACCAGCCTTCCTACATATCAAGAATTCAAGCCGACAGGTCAAAAGGTTATCCTTTTCTGTTGCTTCCTATAAATTGGCTTATTTTCATTCCTTCTGATGGAGATGCAGAGCACAAAGGGATGTACTGTAATCTTTGTCTTCCATATCCAAGTGCTAAAAGGTTTCCAGTTTGTTAAACAGACAATTTATCAGCTAAGGAAGTAAGACATCCAGCTCACAAGCTGGGCACAAGGCTGATTAAATATCTATGCTTTCTTGAAACAATTTGATTAACTGACCAAATCTTAATGACTAAAAACATGAGAAGTGGGAAAGGTGGTTTGAGGAACATTTCCACAATTGCAGGGAAAAAAAATAACGCAAACTCTGCTTTGTAGAGCTATTCAAGTAAAAATTGTTTCCCATCTTTCCTGAGAGAGACATTTACTGACACAACTTTTTTAATGGACTAGTAACAATACTTCAAATGGAAGCAGAATATAGCCAAAGAAATAAACCACATGTCCAATGACTGATTCCAAGAACTTATTAAATTTTATAACATTTATTCCATTTTAATTCCACTTTGAAGCATTACCACAGCTATTACCAATTCTGCTGATGCAATGATTCACACTGAAATGTTAGATTAATGAAAACATTATTTCACTAACTGAACATCTGGGGCTTTAATGTACATTAGATGATACAGGCTTTTCACTCTAAGATACTCTTTGATTTTGTGCAATTTACTGAAGTCAGAATGTCTGTAAAATTATGAAACTGAAAGATGGACACTTACAAAAGCTGTGTGCTTGCCACGAAACCCACGCGTGCACTGTTGCCTCCATGGTTTCCAGACAATAAATCCCAAGAGGTAAAGAACAAACATGGATGTTTTTGCAAATGTACTGAAGAACGGTTTATTATACGTAGTAAAAACATACTGCAAAAGAAGGGAAAAGTCAATCATTTTTTATTAAAAGTTTTCAATTAAGGCATATCACATGAGAAGCACAGTTTTACTGCTCAACACTTTTGTACAACTCAAGCATTTTGAGGCATTGCAATTAGTGGGTAATTATTCATAAAAACGGTAGAGTTCAAACAAAGAAAAGTTCCACTCACTAGTACAGCAAGAAAGAGAACTCGATACAGAAGTATTGGACTTGGATTAAGAGCCAGAATCCAACTGAATATTTATGAGTAGCAAAAAAGTGATAATTAATAAGTCCCTAATTGAATTCCTAGTAAAACAGAAATTAAATCAGGGGCTCATTAATTAACAGGTATTTGCTGCTCTGAGCTATACCATTTCACTTAAGTAGGCTTAAATATTAAGTCAGATTCTGACCACCGAATGGCACCCACTGCAGATATCAAGAGACTAATAGCAACAGTAATTAAAACATCTTCAGAACACTGCCAATATGGTATTCTGCTAAGAGGCTCCTTTGCTCTGCAAGTTTATTTGCTGTGGATTAGATTTGAAAAAGATGGGCAAACTCACAGGAACCCATCACAATCAGTGTAGTATCTCAAAGAACAGAAATAGGCCAAAGCCCTAGTTATCCCTCTGGGAAGCAAAAAGTATACCTCACTGGCAATTTGGAACTCCCTCCCAAAGGAGGCCGGGCTGCTCCTATCTTTGCTGTCCTTCCACAAGCAGGCAAAGACTGTTCTCTGTAGGCAAGCTTTCCCTTAATGGCTGGCTCCCTGCGTGGGGTTTTTTAATGGACTGTTGTTCTTTACTGCTTTGAACGTGTTCTTTGTACTGCTTTCATTTGCCTTTTCTTAGAGTGGTATTTGTTTAATCTTTTTTAGAATTTACTTAATGTTTTTAGCTTTAAATACTGTCTTTTAATTGAGAGAGAGAGACAGAGAGACCGACCAACTGACCATGAGCATTTTCAGGCCAATTCACTGGACCTCAGTCTAAAAATGGAGGCAGAATATGAAAAACACAGAATTAAAACACAGAGGCTCACAATGAACATGTTAATATTCAACTCCAGTTCCTCTAATAGTGTGTATCTTTTGCCATTTTCATGCAAGTTATAGCTATGATTTTTATATTAACAATTATGAGCAACATGATAGTGTGTACTAATCATGACAGCTTGCAATGTAAGTCTCTAAAACCTTTTTTTAGCAGTTTGAACAACCTCCAGAGGTCTAACGCAACATACCCACTCCTGGATCTTGGACGGCCTCACCCAGTCATGCAACCAAAAACTGTTTCTTAGAAAAAATTACTTGTTCCATCTAGTAATTGAATGCTTTTAAATTTTAAATAAGGGGTGTGGCATGCAGTGATACTGAAGGACCATGAAACATGGCAAGCTTCCTTCCCACCTGCTAGAGGGTACACAGTGACACTCTGAATTCTATTTTCCTTCCAAAAATAAAGAGGGGTGTGGGGGTGCTGAGGTCCGTATTTGGAATTCTGACGGTATAGGAATCCATAGCATGCACATTTTCCATTCTTGGTTTAGCATAAATGCCAGCATTGTTACTCCTCTGATTTATTTCTATCCTCCAGAATCAAAGAAAGAATCTAGGATTTGCTTTAGGATGTGGGAAAGAAACAAAGCTGAAAGTGACTGTGCTTGAGTTTGGGTGACCTAAGCAATGCACCAAAGAGTAAAGAAAGCAGGGATGAGCAGGCACTATGCACAGCAGCATAACTGATAACCCAGGCTTCTTGCAGATTCCTGTGTCATCTAACGAAGATCAGTATATTGAAAACATTCCTAAGAGACGGTAAGGGTCTCAGTCATGCAGATTCTTCTAGAGTCATATCATTTGGCAGAAATGCATTATAGGCATAGCATCAAAACTAATAACACATGTGGTCATTTTATAATGCATATGGAGTATGTTTAAAAATGGCAAATTTCACTTAAGCATAATGAAAATATATCTCTTAAGGGTAACTCTTGAAACTCTACAAACTTCAGAGAATTAATCAAAAAAGGTTTTTTTGCTCCTCTCCAGACAGAGAACTGTTGCTTCAAGCCAGTGCTTTCTGCACCCAGCCAAAAAGTCTCTACTTAATTGTCAGTATCCTGCTATCCACACTCTTTTCTCAGGTTCATATAATTGCAGGAGTCCCTGGAAACTACAGGTTGCCAACTTCACCTGCTTTTTACGACTTCTGTCCTAAAAATCATGATTCAGCGAACAAGTGAAAACGGCTAGGTTTTGTTTTTAAAAAGATATACTTCTAGAGGACTGACATTATTAAACAGGTTTGGCAAAATTAATTGAATTTAATTATAGCTTGAAGCAACTTTAGTCATGGGAAAAAGTGCAACAGAAATGTAGTTAATCAGGTATGAGAAGCTGCCCATCCAGCACCAAACCAACTGGTTCCAGCAAACAAGTGCCAACATTGTCGCACAGGTTCACGGAGCGAACATGAAATGCTCTCTTGTAGTACTGCCACATTAAGATCAGAACTCAAGATATTACAGTATTATCTCTTTGCAATCAAACACTTACCGATGTGAGTTCAGAAGAGGCAACCCATATGACATCAACCAGGAGAAGAATGACAATTCCAAGAGCCATTCGTCTACGCTGACTGGGAGAACTGCTCTGTGGGTTCATCCGGTTCATGATAAAAATCCACACCATTTGTAATCTGTTGTAAGAATAGAAGTAAAAATCACTTTAAACTTACATAGCAACAGATACTGTCCTTCAGGAAGCAGACAGGATGGGAATCTCTATAAAAGAATTCAACTAAATTGTAAACTAATAGCTAATCTGCTACATTAAGATGGGGACTCATGATATCTATGGTATCATGATGCTATGGTATTATAACAGCCAACCTACACCATGTCAAAGAAACAGAAAGGACTTTGTAATATTCCCCAGAGGTTGTTAGAACTGTTTCTACAATAATTCATTTAAAAAACCAAGGTCAATACACATAAATGTTAGCTACTAGGGTTGCATACTAATGACAATGATGCATATATTTAACAGATTTATATCTCAGCTTATCAATTGCTTTCACTTTTCAGTGTGTTTCAATTTCCACTTTGCATAGTGGGAGCAATGGAGGAAAATCAAAAGCATATAAGGATCATGTGTTCCTTTAGGATGGGATAAGCACCATTTTTCAGACTACCCTATTTTTAAATTTAATTTGTAAAAACCTCCTCAAAATTGCCAATGTGATCTGTCTCAGAAAATCAGCAGTGTGTTTCGCCACCAAAACTTTATGGGGTGGCTTTAGGGACACTTTCCTGGTTTCACACTGCTACATCTATAAGTATTTTAATTTATTTCCTAATAAATGGTTGCTTACCAGTTTTATTTTTGCTTTAAATTGCTGTTTTGTGCCTTCATTACATCTTAATTGGATGACAGAATGATTAATCAGTGTACTTGCTTCCTGGAATCTGGCTTCCATATTGAATGAATGGTTTGTTCTTTCCTTTACACATCTCAATGGTTTGGGGTTATTTAGCAAGCAGAGAACCTAAACCTACTGCCACGAAGCTACAAAAAAGCTCTGGAACCAAGCAACCAATTATGTGTGGCCAACTGCACTTGTGTGTGTGTGTGTGTGTCATGGGGGGGGAGGGTTTAAGCTGCTTGCCAAAACAAAAATTAGTGCTTAACTCCTGAAAATCACCCACACCTTCTTTAGGAGATGACAGAACAGTATTTGTGGCCAATTGCACTTGTGTGTGTGTGTGTGTGTGTGTGTCGTGAGGGGGAGGGGTTAAGCTGCTTGCCAAAACCAAAATTAGTGTTTAACTCCTGAAAATCACCCACACCTTCTTTAGGAGATGACAGAACAGTGTTACTAGTGCATTAATGAGAGTACTAGGACTGTAGCCAATCCCATTAACTTCAGGATTTATGCAATGCAATTGTTGATAGAACTAACTTTTTAAAATAAACATTTATGAAACTGCATTAATATAGTACATATACCAGTAGATGGAAATCTACTGATGCTTGTGCAAGACTTGCTCATTTTGCTGATTATCTGACAAGATGCTGGAGCACTGTAGCACTTTGTCAGTTCCCTTCAACAAGTTGCATAAGCCTTATGCAAACACTAATATTATTCTGGGAAGTACTTTCGATCAAATAACGACCAAACATTTAAATTATTACTCTGTTAGAGTTGCAATGGAAACAAAAACTTAAAAATAGCTATGGAGAATGAAAACACACAGACTGCTATAATGAAACAATGAGTAACAGTTTAAGTGACTAGTGCAACAGACACATACAATAGAAACCACATTTCAGTCAGTCATAAACAGATACCACCATACTTTTATTTCTGATTGCACAGAGACTTGGAAGATGAACAAAGTCATAGAAAACTTTGAAACAGGGGAAAAGCCGGAAACATGATTCTTGGAAACATGATGGAATTCATATGGAAACCCAATGTATTCCAGTGGAATCCATAAAGAAACACCTGTGCTCTGCAGCAGAGAAGGCAGCTTCTGGGCTCCCTTTGCTGGTGTGTCCGAGGAGACTGGGGGAGCAAGATTCGTGGATTTTAGTGCATCGGTGGAAGGTGACCCCAGTCTTCTTGTGTTCTTTTAATCTTTTATTTTTACGTAAGATTTGAACTGGTATACTGCTAGATCAATGCAGAACAAAAATAGAAATCAATAGAAAAATAAAACAAAGTGTTCAGATTGCAATGTACCTTGCAGTCGAAAACCCATTATCTGCCTGAGACAGAACTCTGGCAGAAGTTGGTATCTTAGCTCACATCAAATTTCTAGTCTCACTTTAAGAGTAGTCTAAGCTAAAACCTAATACCTCTGAGTGCATTCTGCAGCCCCCATTTTGGAACTTCCTTTGAACAAGGAAGCCTGGTCTACATATGGATTTTAGAAGTTTTATCTTTCTTCTGCACCAACCACTGCTCTGTAATGTCTACCATAATGGAGACTTGTCTGAAGTTGAAAGTTAGCTTCTGCTTGTGATATTTTAATAGTCCAATAAAGTTATCACTCTCTTATCTTTGGATTGTGCACAAGGACCACACAGCTTCTCTCTCTCTTTTGGTGGTCCAGGATACGTATCCTACATCTCTCCATGTCACAATTATTAGCTCAGCAGAAAAAATAAATGATTGGAATCTCTTTTGCTTTATTATAAATAGCACTATATTTGGACAACAGAACAGTTGCACCATAGGGTTACTTCTATACCTGTTTAGGAACCTTCTCAAGTTAAAACAATGGTTGGACTCTGAGCAATGTCATGGCATCATGTTAGGTTGAAGACTGTCTCCTGCGAAAGAAAAACAAATCCTAACTGAAATAACAGGAGACTATGACTATGCATTCACTTCCCAAATGCCAGACATCCAACCATGCAAGTCCAGTTCAGATGCTAGGCTAAACCACGAGTGTATGAAGACAAAAAAATAATAATTAATCTTTTGGTCTGGTAGTGTGGCACTTCCTCATTCATGCACTGGTGCCTGCTTTTCCATTATTCTTAAAGCTTGCACAATTTCCATTTGCATTAGCTTTGCCTTGTATAATATCATACCACTTCAAAGAGCTGGCCTTTTAACATTACGTTTATAAAACTTCTTAATACAGAAAATTCCACTTTTCCTGTGCAACATTTGGATAAGGCAAACTTCACAGGGCAGATTAAACTGCCAAAAATATTTACCAGTCTACATGGTAAGCTAAAATTTGTAGAACTGAGTTAGCTACTTATAAGAGATGGGATATTCATATTCATCTACGGGGGAGACAAATATGAATATCATCACCACAGGTGGCTGAGCCCTTTTGACCCACCCCAGAACTGGTCAGTCCACTTACCGACTGCAGAGCGGTACAAAGGGTTTTCATCATTTGCACCGCACCAATTATGGAGGTAGCCCAGCCAGGGCTTCCCTGCCTTCCTGCATTGGTGACAATTCAGTAGCTGAGCAGGGAGACATGTCATTCCATCTCCTCACCAGAGTGGTCAGCAGCACAGGAAGGTTGGGAGGCCGCAACTGAGCTACTTCTGTGACTGGCGTGGCATGAAAGATGATGGCCGCACATGCCTCAAGCAATAAGTGGACTGGCCAGTTCTTGGGGGGTGGGTCAAAAGGGACCAGCCACCTGAGGTGGCAATATTCATATCCCATTTCTATTAATTATCGTCAAAAACAAGGAAAAGAACCAAAATCGTACCACAGCTTAAATATGGTTTAATTCTCTTTGGGGAAGAAAAATCTGCAATAAAATGTGTTGGGCCTTAATTTTTTTTTTCAAAAACTGCACAATTGTAGTCCAGGATCTAAAACAGCCTATCTCTCCAGAGACTTTTCAGTGTGCCTGTTCCAGCATCTGCTTCTAACACCAAGGTAAAACAGCACTAAATGCAAAAGACTGCAACAAGAAGAACTAGAAATCTTTCTATGTGTGTACAGGCGTGCTTTATATTTTCCTATGAGCCACCCTGAATTCCTACCACAATTATCTAGAAAAAAAGTAAAAATATTTGGGGCAGGGGGAAATACAACACTATTTGCTTAGTAAGTTTTTTGATAGCTCTAAAATTATCAATGGCATGATTCAGCTTTCCTTACCTTTTAGACCTTTACTGGTGTCAAACGGACATATCCCATGCAACACATTTTTTATCTACATGTTTGGACATTTTCTGGGGGGAAAGAATACAAAACACAATCTTCAGCAAGCTGTGCTGCTTAACAATGCTTTATAAGGTAAAAATTTTCATTCTATCGATTTTATTATACATTATTTATTATTTCTGCCAGGAATACAGTACTTAATTTAAGTGAAAATGCCCAATAGCAGGCAATCAGGATTTTTATAAAAATTATATAATTATGCCAATGTGAAGTGCTATTCCGTTTATACATCAAAGGTTGAATCCTGGATAAAAGAGGATTTCCCCCCACATCCAACCACATACTTCAGTGGTTCCCAGCTTTGGGTCCCAAGATAGTCTTGGATTGCAACTCTCTGAAGCCCTTGTCAACATAGCTAGTGGTGAGTTGCAGTCAAGAATGTTTGGGGACACAGGTTGGGGACCACTACCTTAGTTAACAACCTCCATCCATAAAGACAATATAGAAAAGAATATCTATAAGAATACAGTATCACAATGCACTGGAGCTTTGTTTGCTATTTTTCCTTCTTCAGGTATTTTTTTCTCTTTGGCAGACAAATGTCTTTTGATCAGAGCATGAATTAGTGATGACTTCAACCAAGTCATATAGGCATGTCAAATTTTATTTTGCTGCACTTTTTAAAAACTCCAGTTAATCTTTAAGGGGCCACTTGGGTTGGTTTATTTGTTGTGTCTGGTATTAATGATTTTTGAGTTCTGTCAGTAGACCTCACAATGAATGAAATATTGATAAAATTGGACTATAACCTTGTAATCATGCAGAAGCTGATTCATTTCCCCCCATGATCTCTGTTTATGTACATGATGCAATGACTCCATAGAGAGGGAATGCATACAATCAAGTTAACACTATAGCAACTGGCTGAAGAAATGCTTTAGCCTTCTGTGTTTGCAGCATTTAAAGAAGCCCTTGCTACTCAAATGCAGCATTTAAAGAAGCCCTTGCTACTCAAATGCATCAAGGCAGTTAACTGTACAGTATACTGCTTGGTAAGGATTTAGTTTCCCTATCCTATAGTATAGTCTATCCAATGTTAAAATCAAAGATTAATATAATTAAGGGTCACAGCTCAATGGCCTTGTGCGGAAATGCTGCTTCAAGGAGGACCAGGAAAATTTGCTGTTTGAAATGCTGGAGAGCCACTGCCAGCCACTGTAGACAACACTGAATTGTACAGACCAATGGCCTGTTCTGATATAAATCCACTTCCAAATGTATTGCCTCTTAACAGCATGGTGAATAAATTAACTCAACATAGCTGTCAAAATCTGAAATATTTACTGAGGCGCCATCATATTTTTATGAACTGAGTAACCAAGTGAGAGAACTTTTTCCTGCACCAATAATGTGGGTCTGACTTATAAAACAAAATTCTTTTCTACTGGCTGTTTAAGTCACAGCTAGAACAAATTATCGTATTTCTAATTAAGGGGGTAACTACATTGCTAAAAACGGAAGAAAATACTTCAGGTTTGGGGTGCGCTGATTCACATTTTTTCCATACATCAGCTGACACAATGGGATATATAAATTAGCTTGGAGTACCCCTCTCCTATCCATAACTTTTCCTGTTCACCAGGAACCTTCTATTTTTTAAACTCTCAAAATCTTTTGCATCAGTTCAAGCATGTGATTGCTTGAACCGATGCAAAAAGGGAAGCTGAAGTGTGTGCATGCATACTCTTACCACACCTCTTGCCCCTTATCTCATTAAGGTAAGAGCACATATACACAAGGCAGCATCAACACACAGAACCGAACAAAGCCTCTATCCCAAAACTCTTTATTTTTTAAAATCTCTTCCGCCTAGGCAACACTTATGTTATTTATTTTATTATTTTTAACAGCTTAACAAGGCAAAGCCCCATGTTGGAAAATGGCAATCAAAACAGGGGAAAGCCTGTCTCATTGCCTATTAATTAAATTTTTTGAACAGTGCCACCTGTGGGTCTGCAGGTAGAATTGCAAGCAGTCAGATCTAAGTGTGGCCACTTAAATTGAACAGATCCGAATTCCTTGGTGGCGACTTCACAGCGAATGAATGTGCATTTCCCTTGCTGAGCAGCCACACCCTAAGAGAGATACAGACAAAGGGTTTCCCAATCACAACTTCTAGAACTCAGATCTAAACAGTATCATTCTTACAGAATGCGGGTGGCATACAAGTTGAATGAGTGGGTAAATAAATAAATAATAAATAAATAAATAAATATTCTCTTTTGCAAAAGCCTTGAACATCGATGTTCAAAATATGCCCTATCTGCCCAAATAAAATTGCAAAGTACAGTGGATTGAATACTACAAATACAATGCACTCACCCAACCTGAAATACCAACTCTCACATCTGACACTTACCTGGATATGTTGTTACTATGGCACTGATTCATAACACTACCGGTATTACTGGTTTGAATATCTACAAAATAATAAAATTTGACATCTCTGAAGTTCTCAGAATTCATATTAACATGAAATTTATTTTCCTCTTTTTAAAAAGAACTATTACATAAATCAAGTTTTGCAGCTATCTAATAATCAAAGTAATTCAGTTTTTTTCTGGATCCTAAATCACTACAGTCTTGCATGTATGATAAAAAATAACAAGGAAAGGCCTGTCAAATTTGACCAATGAAGTTTCCTGCCAACCCCAAGGTATAACCTGCAGTCCATCACTGAGGCCATTGCGTCAGGCAGATCAAGGCTCAATCTTCTGTTCCTCAAAAGACAGTAAGAACTCAAGGCCCTGGGGGAATGCCAAAGCAAAACAAGAAGGTTCACTTTTCCTCTTTGCCTGGTTCCTGGGTTGTTTATTAAGAGCAGAGCATAAGACATCTATTGTTCTTACTCCAGGCAACTCTGGATCTATCTCAAATGGTGAAGGAGGCTCAACCTTCCTCAACTGTCAGTAGTTGAACAAACCAGGAGGAGTAGATTTCACTTCTACCATTATGTTGTCCTATTGGAGTAGCATTTTTGAGAGCAATAAATGAAAATTATTTGCACATACAGCAGAAAGGAAAAGGTACCAATAGAGATATAGTAAGGTGGAAATACTACCCCTTTTAATCATCTCCATGCTATCCCTGTCCCAGCAACTGAGCTGATGTGGAAAGTGCACAGCAATGGCTCCTTTTGCATGCCCTCTTCTCTAGTCTGCTCAGGTTCTTAGCAAGTCTTGAGAAAGCTGACTTTTGGGCTGCCAGGAATTTTATTTAAATGGGAAAGCAGTGCATGTGTAAGCAGTGTTCTCTATTTAAAATTATATGTCTCCCCAGCCTCACCCAAAAATAGGGAGAGGTATGAATTAGTCCTAATGGGCAAGGAGGGAAGGTTTAAATCTCCCCATCTATGAACTCTCATGTGCCCGTAAGCAAACAGCTGTGCTTTAATATCTGATGAAGCTACAACCACAAAAATGTTTGCTTATACTCAATGATGGTCCTCTATGACAGTGGTTCTTACCTTTGTTACTCTGATGTTTTTGAACTGCAACTCCCAGAAACCCCAGCCAGCACAGTTGGTGGTGAAGGCTTCTGGGAGTTGCAGTCCAAAACTCCTGAGTAACCCAAGGTTAAGAACCAGTGCTCTATGAGACCTAGAATTGTTTGATTGTATTTATCTCCTGTTGAACAGAATACTGAAATCAGTGTTCATACTGCTGGTTGCTGTAGTTACAAAATACAACTGGATTTTGGGGCTGATTTTTTGTTCTTGGTTCTGGTAGTTGTTCCATAAACTCAGTCTAGAATTGTTTGATTGTATTTATCTCCTGTTGAACAGAATACTGAAATCAGTGTTCATACTGCTGGTTGCTGTAGTTACAAAATACAACTGGATTTTGGGGCTGATTTTTAGTTATTGGTTCTGGTAGTTGTTCCATCAGCACAAATGCCTTTTCACAAATGAAATTAAAAAGCTAGACCAATCCCTTGAAATGATGTAAAATCAGGTATTGAAAACCAAAACCTGATTTCATTGCACATGCCTGGTAAACTGCTTCTTTCCAACATGATGTATATCCAATACAATCAAGGCCACAGTGGTCTTCTCTGGGATCCATTATACAGTGATACTAATATCATTTCAGACTAGAACTGTGTTTATTCAGTCCAGTAAGTTAGCATTAGTGAACAATAAGCAAAGCAATAAAACTAATCTGAACACATAGAAGAAAACAAAAATACACAACACAACTTGATTTACATAAATTGATTACAAATTTAAATGCACATTCATAAGTCAATTTTACATATACACATTGACAAAATCTCCATATCACCACACAACAAAAAAAACCATTTTAATCATTTAACCAATATTTTTGTTTTGAAGCAGCAGCAGCACACCATTTCTTCTATCATTATAACTAAGAATTCACAATCTGACTTTATAGGAGAAGGCAAGAGTAATTTGTTCCAACTGCTTTGCCAAGTTCTGTAACATGTGGCTCAGATCATTCTCTTGATCACTTGCAAAAGCGTTGCAGCTTAGTGCTTTGCATGTAAAATTCCATCTCAGCAAGAACTGCAGAAACAGGGCTGGGAAGGATTTCTACTTGAAACCTTGGAAAGTAACTGCCAAGAGGTGGGCAAGAGACCAAAGATTTCACTCCCCAAATACTCATATGTGAAATGCAGGAGTGTCTGCATGAGCCTTGGATGCAAGTGAAGCTAGGCTTCTGTTATTATATGATGTATATTTACTTAATTGCAAATGCATGCATAGTTAGCTCCCTATCCTCGAAGAACTTTGAACTTCAAAATAAACAACAGGAACACCAATACACCATAAGACCAGATCAAAGCCTATCTAGTCCAGTACTTTGTTCCCTTCAGCCCGATCCAGACAAACATCTAATACCCATTTTATGCGACTGTTTCCAAGCTTCTGCTGTTGTGCCATGTAATCTCCTTGAACTCTGAGGTTCACAGCCACCCTATCTAATACGTACTTTCCTGGTTTTCGTGCACTGCTGGTTTTAAAACAATTAAGCGAACAGTTTTCATCACCACATCTCCTGGCAAGCAACATATCTCTGGACTAGACAAGGCCTTGAGATGAATCCAGCTGTTTTTCTCATCACATGCCAACCAACTTCCTTGCAATCCCCTCTTCTTTCTCCCCTGCTTTCTTCGCTTTTCCCCAGGTTTCGGTAAGTCTCTGTTGGCCACAATTTTTAAACGCAGGGCGTTTTCTACAACTCCTCGCAATTCGGATCTTGAGGGGGGGGGGAGCTACACGAAACATCCCCTTCCCTGTAGGGTTCACAAGTTCGCAATCCGGCTCGAGTCCCTTAAGCCTCCTCTCTCCCTTCATTTTGGAAGGAGCTTTTAGCCTGAGGACCTTTCAAAAGCAAGGAATCGCACAAGCGGGCAGCAGCACCCCGCTCTCCTTTTTAAAAGACCCAACAGGAGGAACCAGCTTCTCCCGCCCACACAGAGCCGGGCGGAGAAGGAAGAAGCGCAGGAGGATAAATAAATAAATAAAGAAACACACACAAACACACAGAGACCCGTACTCCTGTACGCCAAGCCAAAGTGGCCTCTCTTGAAGGTCCTACAAGAGACCAGAGTATTTCACCCCACTGCACACACACAGAGAGGCGTAGACGACGTGCCCTCTTCCATCCCCAATAAATAACGAGCAATTAATTAGGAAATGGGTAGATGGGAAAGTTGGGTTTGCCCGAGAGTGGGAGAGAAGCCGCGAGCTTGGCGACCCAACCCCCGGGAATGGGGGGGGGGGTCTCGGGGCTGTTTTCCTTGCCGCCTCCACCGCTGCCAGGAGGGCGCTCGGGTTGTCAGGGAAGCGGCCACCCTTCCCGGGCACCCCAGCAGCAGCAGGCCTTTCCTTCCTCCGTCAAAGATGGTGGCCACCCCCCTCCCTCTCTCCCTCCCGCTCGGCTCCGCTTCTGCGCTCGCAGCTGACTCGCCTCAAGAGTCCCACTGGCCTGGGCCCGAAGCGAATCGATCGCCGAAAGGAACCGCCCGCTCAGGATCGATGCGCTCGGAGCTCCACTCGTGGCCCTCCCTCGCTGCGCCGCCCCCGCCGCCCAGGCCTCTCGCTCGCCTTTTCCAGGCAGGCGCGGGCGCGCTGGTGCTTCCTGCCCGCGTGCAGAAAGGAGGAGAAAAGCGGGCGAAGTGGAAAGAAAGAGGGCGTGCGGCGGGGGCGGGGGAAGGGATAGAATTGGGTGGGGAGTCTCTTGGGGTGCCTCTGGAATGATATAAGTAACCCCATAGGGTTTTCCTGGAAGGGACTTCCCGGCAAACTTACACAGACCGAGCCCGAAAGGTGTCCGTTCTCCAAGATCAACGCGTATAGGATTGCTCGTCTGAAGCTGCTGCCCTATGTGGACTTGCTTGGGCAAAAGTTTAGTGAAACCTGCATGCAGTCCTGTACATGCCTACTGAACGATGTCCCATTTAGAAAGCCGGTTTTATCCCCAGGTGAATGTGAATGCAATTGTAGTAGTAAATCTGGGGGTGGTCTAGTGGAATGAGGCTGCAGATTCTGTTCTTTACAAGCGGTCTGAAGCTGCTGCCCTATGTGGACTTGCTTGGGCAAAAGTTTAGTGAAACCTGCATGCAGTCCTGTACATGCCTACTGAACGATGTCCCATTTAGAAAGCCGGTTTTATCCCCAGGTGAATGTGAATGCAATTGTAGTAGTAAATCTGGGGGTGGTCTAGTGGAATGAGGCTGCAGATTCTGTTCTTTACAAGTCAGGCATGATATAGACTGTTAGGTGCATGTTAAGGTAGTGTGTGTGTTTTTTTTTTAACAGGACCTGAAATGCTTTCGAACATTTTAAAACTTAAAACGGTACCTTTGTGACACTGTCCAACCATCTTGTCCTCTGTCGTCCCCTTCTCCTCTTGCCTTCACTCTTTCCCAACATCAGGGTCTTTTCCAGGGAGTCTTCTCTTCTCATGAGATGGCCAAAGTATTGGAGCCTCAGCTTCAGGTTCTGTCCTTCCAGTGAGCGCCCAGGGTTGATCTTCTTTAGAATGGATAGGTTTGTTCTCCTTGCAGTCCAGGGGACTCTCAAGAACCTCCTCCAGCACCACAATTCAAAGGCATCAATTCTTGGGCGGTCAGCTTTCTTTATGGTCCAGCTCTCACTTCCATACATCACTACAGATTGTTAGGTGCATGTTAAGGTAGTGTTTTTTTTTAAACAGGACCTGAAATGCTTTTGAACATTTTAAAACTTAAAACGGTACCTTTGTTTTCAGCAAGTCAGCCTTCTAGAATGTGTGGTTTAAAAAAGCAGCCTGAAAGATGGTCTGAAAGAAATGGGGAAAATGCTAAACAAATGTAGGACAAATTGCGTGAGGTTTGCTGATGCAGCTTTTAAGATTACCAGTTGACCACATTGCTAAATATTTTTGTTCTTTTAAAAAAGTTAAACTGAGTC